TGCGTAGGCGGCACGCATGCGGGTTGACACGACTGTCGCGGTCGCTGACCCAGAGTCAGACGTCTAAAAATGGGACGCTCGGACTGCCCCCACAAAATGCGCAATGCAGACTTAAAGCATGAGGCACCCACTTACGAAAATGTTTGATGGATTTGCTTTAAGACAATGGCACAGCCAGAAATACTAATGCAATGCTTGACTGAGTCGGAATTCCTCATATAGTTCATCGAACAGGACGGGCGAATGGGAACGCAATGCCCTGGTAATACAAGTGCCTTTGCGCCGAACTCCGGGAAGGGTATCCCTTCCCGTGTCCTTATCTCAACACTCACTTTAACCATAACCATGACCCTTGTCTTAATGCCAACCCCTAGCCTGATCTTAATCCTTAACTCGACCTTAACCCTAACCCTACTTTTCATGGAATATAGCGCTAAGTCACCGGTATTGCGGGTGGCTCCTGTTCCCATGCACTGCACTATAAGCGGCATTTACTACTGGTTATTTATAAGTACGCCATTTTCCAGACCCAGTATTTCCTTAAAAATTGGAGATCAAGATCATCTTCACAGGATGGCCAATCCTAATGCCTATGATACGATCTCTTATATTGGAATACCTGGCCAAGCCGAATCCTTAGAGCGAGGCAAAAACAGGCTGTTATTATTTGCTTTGAGAACTTGGATTACACGCCTCGGTATTTAATGCGGGGTATCATATCCGCAGAGGGTTCATATAAAGGGATTACGAGCAAGTCTGCATCAAAACTGAGCACTTCTTACAAACTCAGCGGCAGCTGGCAAATATATTTGATTCTTGCAATTGTTGGATTTGTAGATAGAAGCCTCCGCCACAAGTCTAACCTATCAACAGTTAGACCGTTGAATCCGACAATGTCCACCGTATGCTAAACTGAACGATGAAGCAGACACGGTGACTTGCGCGTGAATTAGTGTATGGTGCAAATAGACCTGATCGGCATCTACCACACTCTCTCTTCCCCACTCCACACTTGGACCCGGTTTCTAGAGAGACTCAAGTAAACCGGAGTCTGGGGATGACGTAGGTGGTTGGACCCGCACCTAGACGTGACATACAACTCCCTGGTCCACAACATAAACTTGGCCAGGATTTTTCGCCATCAAGAACAACAAAAACACCCCCACAGGAGTCAAAAGGACGAGGATGATGACTAAGCAGGCATGCCCACCACTTGTAAATCAAGCGGAGCACAGGCGCTTCTACTGGCAGGATGCCAGGCGTCAGGGAACTGACAGTCATACGAGGCTGGGATGACCATGGTTTGCTGACACTGACATAGCTCACGCTTTCAGACCTTCTGACTTAAAAGGGCGACAATTGATCCTGCATTTAGCCTGGGCCGTCAGCCTTCAAGGTTGGGTAACTAAGCAGCCGTCCACTGATAGGCAATACACGCGAAGCACCCACGCAAGCACACACAGTCTCCTCACATGCATTGGTGTCACCGATGGCTTGAAAAGGGGCCGTGACAGCCTGGCTATCAGCCCACCAGTCCGCCATTTAAAAAAGGAGACACGATCGCTGGGGCAGGAGCTTTATTAGCCCGAGTCACAGCGCTCGACGCACCGTTTTCGTCTCAGACTCCGATCATACATGTAGCAGTGGAGTCACATGGAAAAAAAGACGAGACGCATACATCCCACTTGCGTGGGAGACGGCAGATGGGTGCTTGCGGTAGGTGATTTTGATGTGCAGTGAGTTACTGTTGAGGGAGTATGTGATGGTGTAGAGGAGCCGACGGTTGTCTACCTCAGGTTTTCATGGACGCGCATGTGGCCTAATCGACCCATACCGTGAATGGATGTGAGAGTGCAATGTGGACAGTTGTGGCGGATGCGGCGAGTGTAGGTGGATGCTTTAGGCACTGGTCTGTTAGTCTCTGTGCGATGTATTTGCAAGTGACCGACAAGGCCGATGTGAGAATTTAAGTCCGATCGCATTGAGGGCGGAAGTAGGCCGTGTTCTCTTGCGCGGGAGGCGGCAGTTGGGTGCCTGCGGTGGATGATTTTGATGAGCGGTGAGTTGCTGTTGAGGGAGGACGGAAATAGACCGTGTCCTCATCACTGGTGTTGAAAGTGGTGGCATTGGTGATTGTTGGTGTAGTGTTGATGGGTGTAGCGGACGCCACAGCGGCAGACATTGAGGCAGCGAAAGAGGAGGAGAAGGAGGAGTCGGGGGAGGAGGGGGAGGAGGAGGAGGAGGAGGAGGAGGAGGAGAAGGAGGAGTAGGAGGAGGAGAAGGAGGAGGATGGAA